GAAATTGTCGATGTTGCCGCCACCAGGTCATTTTGGGTCAACTTCTCGGCACTGTATCTCGGTAAGTACTGATCAGAAATTTTTTGTGTGTGTGTTTTATTACCTTCACAAAAATATACTCTAATTCTGTAAGAAATTTTTTTTTTTTTTTTTTTTTTTTTTTCAAAATTTCTTGGACACTGGGGCACCCCTTCTGATTTTGGCCTTGGACCCTGAAAGGGTTAAGGTCAAGTTTTTGCCTCCTAATACCACTCCTCTCCTGCAGCCCATGGACCAGCAGGTCATTTCAAGCTTCAAAAAACTCTACACAAAAGCTATGTTTCAAAAGTGCTGACCTCAGACACTCGACTGACTCTAAGAGAGTTTTGGAAAGATCACGTTAGCATCCTTAGTTGTGTAAACCTTATAGGTAAAGCTACTCTGCTTGGAAGAAACTGTGGCCACAATGTGTATAAGAAAGGGATTTTGAGGGGTTTGAGGCAAACCCTGAGAAGCGTATGCAAGTTGTGGAATCCAATGTGGCATTGGGGAACTCCTTGGGGTTGGAGGTTAGTGGGGAGGATGCGGAAGAGTTGGTGGAGGAGGACAATGAAGAAGTAAGCACTGAAGAGCTGCAAGATCATCTTCAACAGCAAGAGGCCAGACCTGAGGAAACTGCTTCAGAGGAGAGGAGAGAGAAATTGAGGAAGCTGCCTACTTCAAAGATTAAGGAAATGTGTGCAAAGTGGGTTGAACCGCAAACCTTTGCGGATGAAAATCACCCTGACACAGCTACTGCAAGCCGTGCTGGTGACTATTACAATGACAATGTTATGGCCCATTTTAGGAAAGTCTTAAAGGAATGGGAGGTACAGAACTCTATGGACAGATTTGCTGTGTGACAGAGGTCCAGTGACTCTCAAGCTGGTCCATAGTGGCACTAAAAGAAGAAGGCGAAGTAACCCCGGAAAAGGACCTTGATACCTCAAGTCCGAATGGAAGGGACGATTCCCTTCTAAACAATAAACCTTCCCACACTCTCCCCTCCTCCCATCCATCATCATACCAGATCTCTCAATAAAGTAAGTGTCATGTATTCTATTCTAGTAGAGTAGTAATGGTGTAATGTCTTCTTCAGTTTGTGGTATTAAAATTAATATTTCATGTGGTAAAATTTTTTATTTTTCATACTTTGGGGTAGTCAGAGAACAGGATTTAATTTGATTTCCACTTATTTCTTTGGGGAAAATTAATTCGCCTTACGATAATTTCGGCTTACGATGAGCTCTCAGGAATGGATTAATATCGTAAGGCGGGGGTCCACTGTATAGTACTGTACAGTACATAGAATTTTAAATTAACCCTATAAACTTTACTCTTGCAATCATTTACTTATTCACCATGGTTATATCACTTCAGTTTTATCAATCACCAGCTAATGTATTCCACATCTTCCCATTAGATCATTGTTTCCTTTTCTATCTATCCTAGAATCACATATCTACTCAGACTGAGCATCTCTACTCTTTATACTAACATCACACTAGTATTTCAAGTACAAAACTGGTACTCCTTCTAAACACAATTATCAAATTAAAAGCTCCTTAAAAAGATAAGTCATAACATACTGTACCCAGATCACAACATAACAGAAGTACAGACATGTGTGCACAGGGCTCCTGACCAGCAAAATGCGATCAGTCACGAGGGTGTCTTCACAAAATTCAACTTATATAACAAAAACATACAATGAGAACAAGTCATGTCCTAAATGAAACAAGCTGGGTAGATATCCTTAACAACATGGATCCAAACTCTGTGGTTCTTGAGATCTGCTCAAGGCACATTCCGTTAAGAAAAAGAAAGATGATATAAAGTAGAAAGAGAGAGATGCTTCCTATACAGATGAAGGTGAGGAGTCACAGAGCCGCTGAGAGAGGCCAATGTAATTGAAAAACGAAGGGAGGCACTGGTCAATGAAATTGCAAATATCGAACTTTAGCTGAAGGAATCTTACAGGAGACAAGAATCGTAGGAAGAACTAAATGTCATAAAGGAAATTAAAAAAAAAAATACTTTTTCTCTTACGCCAAATCAAAGAGAAAAACATCCAGTATAGGGCCCCTGCTTAGGTGTGATGGGACATACACAGATGACAGCCAAGAAATGAGTGAGATACTAAAGTCCCAATATGACTCGGTGTTAACCCTTTCAGGGTTTCGGCCGTACTAGTACGGCTTACGACCCAGGGTTTTTGACGTACTAGTACGCCTAAATTCTAGCGCCCTCAAATCTAGTGAGAGAAAGCTGGTAGGCCTACATATGAAAGAATGGGTCTATGTGGTCAGTGTGCGCAGTATAAAAAAAATCCTGCAGCACACAGTGCGTAATGAGAAAAAAAAAACTTTGACCGTGTTTTTGGATTAAAACAGCGACTTTGCACTGTATTTTCGTATGGTATTTATTGTTGTATTCTAGTTTTTTGGTCTCATTTTATAGAATGGAAGACATATTATAGAAATTGAGATGATTTTGACTGGTTTTACAAAGAAAACTACCTTGAAATTGCGCTCAAAGTAGCAGAAATGCTCGATTTTTACCAAAGATCAAAAGTAAACAAATCATGCTATGCGTCCAATACATGTCAACTGGTGAGTCTAATATTCTTTTACAAATGCGCTGATAATATTTATACCAATTCTACACCAATGCAGTAGTCTGAATAACAGTAAATCTTCTATTTTTTTGTGAAAATAAAAATTCAAAGTGGAAAGCAAAAGAATGTAAGAGGGGCATGGGAACATGACTAGTGAACAGAGGAAATGTTATTTTAGTGCCAGGAATGTCTTTCTTGTTTATTCTGGACCCTATTCGGAAATTGGCATCTTTTGAAATTTGTGTGAAATTGGCAAAATTGCTAAATTCTGACCACTGTATTGGATAGTTGAAATCAGTAAATGGGTGGTTTCTTGTACTCATTCGATAGGAAAAATGGAGTTCTAGTGAAATAGTTATGATTTTTGTTGACAAGTACACTGGAATTGGCCAAAAATAGGGCTCAAAGTGGGCAAAATCGCTGATGCGTAAACATCGTCGAGATCGCTAACTTCGAGAGAGCATAATTCCGTAAGTTTTCCATCAAATTTCATACTTTTGGCGTCATTATGATCGGGAAAAGATTTTATGTCTTTTCATAAGAAAAAAATAATCTTTTTTTTTTTTTTTTTTAAATTTGGTCGACCCTGAGAACAAGTCTCTGAGAGGGCCTGTCGACCCTGAAAGGGTTAAGCGAGCCGCTACCCAGACTAAGGGTCGCCAATCCAAATAAATTCTTTATGAACGAGACCCAAAATCTGGTCATCCCCAAAATCTCGGATACTATCCTAACACCACAAGACTCTGAAAAGGCAACAAATAACACACCCATGCACTCTACCCTAGGCCCAGACTAGTGGAACTTCGTGTTCATCAAAATCTGCAAGAAGCCTCTGTCACGTGCCTTCAGCATTCTATGGAGAGGGAGCATGGACACATGGGTCATCCCACACTCACTAAAACAACAGACATACCCCCACTCTACAAAGGTGGCAGTAAAGCAATCGCAAAGAACTACAGACCAATAGCACTAACATCCCAAATCATAAAAATCTTTGAAATAGTTTTAAGAAGCAAGATTGCCAACCACCTAGATGCCCATCAATTACACAACCCAGGGCAACACGGGTTTAGAGCAGATCGCTCCTGCCTGTTCCAGCTACTGGACCACTATGACAAGGTCCTGGATGCTCTAGATGATAACAAAATACAGATGTAGTATACAGAGACACTGCAAAAGCCTTTGACAAGTGTGACCATGGTGTAATAGTGCACAAAATGCGTGATAAAGGAATAATAGGTAATGTTGGAAGATGGATCTATAACTTCCTCACAAATAGAACACAAGGAGTAATAGAAATCAGAGTAAAGTCTGAGACAGCTATGGTGAAAAGCTCTGTTCCACAAGGCACAGTACTCGCTCCCATTTTATTCCAGATCATCATATCTGACACAGATGAGATTTAAGCCATAGCTCCGTGTCTACCTTTGCGGATGACACACAAATTGCTATGACAGTGACCTCCATCGAAGACACTGCAAGACTCCAAGCGGACATCAACCAAATCTTCAAATGGGCCATTCAAAACAATGTGAAGTTCAGTGACATTTCAACTACTCAGATATGGATAACATGAGGAAATTAAAACTCTATCAGGGCATACAATGAATTCTAAATATACAATAGAGCAAAAAAGTAATGTGAAGGACCTGGGAGTGATAATGTCAGAGGATCTCGTCCTCAAAGACCGCAATAACGTATCTACCGCATCTGCTAGGAAAATGATAGGATGGATAATGAGAACCTTCAAAACTATGGGTGCCAAGCCCATGATGATTCTCTTGAAATCGCTTGTTATCTCTAGGCTGGAATACTGCTGTACACTAACTGCTCCCTTCAAGGCAGGCAAAATTACTGACTTGTAGAGTGTACAAAAAACTTTCACAGCACACATAAGTACAATAAGGCACCTAAATTACAGGGAACGGTTGAAGTCCCTTGATTTGTATTCCCTGGAATGCAGGCAAGAGATACATGATAATATACACTTGGAAAATCCTAGAGGGATAAGTACCAAACATGAACACGAAAATCACTCCTTATGAAAGCAAAAGACTTGGCAGGAGATGCAACATTTCCCCAATGAAAAGCAAGACTGTTCAACTGCCTCCCAGTATACATAAGGGGGATTACCAAGAGACCCCTGGCTGTCTTCAAGAAGGCACTGGACAGGCACCTAAAGTCAGTACCTGACCAGCCGGGCTGTGGTTCGTATGTCAGTTTGTGTGTGGCCAGCAGTAACAGCCTGGTTGATTAGACCCTGATCCACCACGGGGCCTGGTCTCAGACCAGGCAGCGGGGGCATTGACTCCTGAAACCCTCTCCATGTATACTACAGGTATACTCATGTGTGTGGTAAACTTACTGTTTATGCTGACCAGTGTGCTGCTCAATAGCCTTAGGAGTAAGTCTTCGGAGAATCACCATCGGGGACATTCTGTGACTTGTCTGATACTTGGTAGTCTTAGAATTGGCAAGATACAGCTCCCGAATTTCTTGCAAAAATTTTTCAACTGGCATGATTTGTTTTTCTGAAAAAAAAAAATACAAAATTAAAACTGTATTGCACCACCACAGTACACTAGTATAGAAAAATATCCATGGCAACACAGTACTCACTAAACAGAGCACCCTTGAGAAACAATGCCCCATATGTAAAAGAATGTGTATATACAGTAGACCGTTGTTTAACACAATTTTGTCTGGCATGTTTTGGTTATAGCACAACTGGAGAATTGCAGCATATTTTTGTTTAACACTTCGTAAAATTAATTTAACATGGCTGCAGGAGGGGAAAAAATTTTGAGCACATGGTCGCCCGCGGGGCAGGATGGGCTACAGCCATCCCTTGCCAGCAACAGCCACCCCCACCACCATCCCAGCCTTCAGTCCTGTACATGTGTTGGGCGAACCTGTGCCAGTAGCTCGCTGTGCTTGTTTAGATACGTATTAATTGCCATTTCTTAAATCTGCCATGCAATCATGGCACCCAGTAGGCATACAAGTGTTGTTGAAAGTTGCAAGAAAAGGTTTAAGCATTTAAATCTTAGACTTAACGAAGAAAGCGAGATATTAGACAAAATAGCCTGTAGCCGGAATGAAGTGTCATTTTGTACATAAAAAGAATGAGGTATATATGAGTTTGTGTGATGACTGACTGACTTGACTGAATGACTTGACTGATTGAATGATTTGATTGACTTACTGAATGACTTGACTGACTCACTGAATGACTTGACTGATTTACTGACTTGACTGACTGAATGACTTGACTTACTGAATGACTTAGACATTTTCAATGAAGAGGACCCTGAAACGGTGTCTAGAGCCGCTGATGCCTTACTGTCAATTGTACAATGTACTGTAGGGTAAAATAGAACAGAAATCTCTTACAGAATTTATGCTCACTCCAGTACAACCATCAACTTCAGTACCAGAACCTCTACCATCCACCTCAGCCCAGTAGGACCACAACATAACTCTACACTCTCTTCACAATCATCCACAAACATCAGCACGCACAATTTAAGGAAAGAAATACTATTATTTCTGTTGTATTTGTACTCTTATGTAGTTAAAACATAATACATGTACATCATGACAATGAACTACAATTATATATTCACTTTTATTTTTGTAAGATCTGTTAGTCTAAAAAGTTGTTTAGCTTTTTGGGGGTCCCAGGAACATAACCATATTTTTTCCCATACATTCTTGAGCTTGTCTATCACGGTTTTGCCTAACTTGAATAAATATAGGCCAATATCCAACTTACACCCTCTCTCTAAAATCTTCAAAAAATTAATTCATAAGTGAATCTATTCCTATCTCATCTCCCACAACATACTCAACCTCTGTCAGTTTGGGTTCAGGGCTAATAAAAATATGAATGCTATTATACACATGCTAGAACAAATATACACTGCACTAGAGAAAAAAGAGGTACCACTGGGAATCTTCATTGATTTACGTGAAGCTTTTGATACAGTTGACCATGACTTGCTCCATATAAAATTGTCGCACTATGGTATAAGAGGGCACTCCCTCAACTACCTAAAGTCATACCTCAGCAAGTTAGTTTAATATGTTTATTATGCACCCTATACCCATTCTGTGGGCGGTAGTCAAAAGATTACAGAGGTACATAATTGGTCCAGGGACTGGACTCCAAAGTTTTGATAGCTGAGCAAGTTACAGAGGTAATGAACTCACAATTTACAAAGGTAATGAACTCACAATTTACAAAGGTAATGAACTCCAGGTAGGTCTGGTCACAATTATGACAAGTTACAAAGGTATTTACAGATTACAGAGGTACGTAATGGGTCCAGGGACTGGGCCCAACAGAAGCCAATATGTGTACACAAATGGAGCAAACTCTTCTGCACAGCCAATTACAGTTGGTGTCCCACAGGGAAGTGTCCTTGGCCCTCTTCTCTTTCTCATTTACATAAATGACCTAACAAATGCATCGCAACTACTCAAACCCACACTATTTTCAGATGACACTACATACGTTTTCTCTCACCCAACCCCAGTCATGCTAGCCAATACTGTGAATACCGAATTACAGAAAATATCTACCTGGATGAGGACTAACAAACTTACTCTCAACACTGACAAAACCTACTTCATTCAGTTTGGTAACAGAGCTACAGATGTCCCTCTTAACATAATGATAAACGGATCACCTATCACAAAGCTCACGGAGGGAAAATTCTTACGAATCCACCTTGATAATGGACTCAAATTTCAAACACATATACAACAAATGTCCAAGACCATAGGCATACTATCGAAGATACGGTACTATGTTCCACAGTCAGCCCTCCTGGCCCTGTATCACTCACTTATTTACCCCTATCTCAACTATGGAATTTGTGCATGGGGCTCAACAACAATAAACCAACTCAGACCATTAATTACCCAACAAAAGGCTGCAGTCAGAATGATAATAAATTCCCACTAGAGGCAGCACACACCACCAATATTCAAAACTCTAAACCTACTCACCATACAAAACATCCATACTTATTATTGTACCTACAACATACATAGAACACTTAACTCGGATATAAACCCTCCCCTCAAACGTCTCCTTACCAACCCCAACTGAACACATGACCATAACACAAGGCACAGATCACTCTTTGATGTTCCTCGTGCCCATCTCACACTATGCAAAAACTCAATGCACATAAAAGGACCAAAAATCTGGAATTCATTACCTGGGAATATAAAAGAAACACTGTTTATAAATTCAAGTCTCTTCTTAAAAATCACTTACTTACCCACAACTAAATAAATACTGAATAATTGTATCTCATAAATGTTTAACCTGTGACCCAATCAAACTTTGTTATTTTTAATTACATTACCTAACAGAATACTTCATTCTACTGAATGCAAAGCAACACAGTAAATGACCTCACCTATGCTATTTGTGCTTGGGGATCAACTGCAGCAATATACCTAAAGCCAATAATAACTCAACAAAAAGCTGCAATAAGAATAATCATTAAATCCCATCCCTGGCAACACCCCCACCCCCCACTCTTCATAGATCTAAACTTACTCCCTGTTCAGAACATCCACACTTACTACTGTGCAATCTACATATACAGGACCTTAAATTCCAATATTAACCTTGACCTAAAATGCTTTCTTGATAGTTGTGACAGGACCCACAGGCATAACACCAAACACAAACATCTCTACGACATTCCCAGTGTCCGGCTAAACATTTACAAAAATTCAATGTATGTCAAAGGCCTTAAAATCTACCTGGAACTCACCCTTACCTGAAAACTCTACGAAACTCACAAGACATTATTCATCACCTTTCCAAAAAACTACTGTATAAAGAAAACATATCTTATACTCCCTGTATGAAAAACCCCTCAACTAATTTCACATTAAATAACACCACAATGGTGGTCTCACACTTATACTCAACTACACAACAAAAACCATTTTAACCTATTAAACGATTGAGATTGATACTATCTAAGCTCCTAATAATAATGATTCTAAACTAGTCATAGTTTGCCACTGGACCACTCCAATATTACAAACTATGTATTTTGCCAAAAGGAAAAGCATCAGCACTTGTATCCACAAATAAGTTTTTGGAATCACTTAGCGTTTAGTCAACTTACTCCTAACAATTTGTTAATAATTTGCTAAATTAATCTTGAAGTTTGGCCCAAAATGCCTAGCCATGCTATGGGCTTGGCTATTGTAGGCCCCCCGTCTGTAATTAGTATTTGGTCACAGATGCTTAACCCATGGGAAAAATATACCATAGTTGATAAACCTCATTGTGGCTAGCTGTCTAGTGGATAACGGACGCTGAGTTTTGAGATCTTGATTAATGCCTTTGATTTGCAATCGTGTCATTCGATTCTTAGTCATGGCCTGTCTTAGAAATACTTATTTGTGCTTAATTGTAAACTGTTTACAACAATGTTTACCAAGTTAATTTTAAGCCTGTCCATAATGCTCTGCATACAAGGGGCTTTGGCATGTTACACTTAACCACTGTATTTCCTTGTACTTCTATGTATCATGTTCAAATAAATAAATAAATCAATAAACATGGCATTTTCAGGAACGTAACTACCATGTTAAACAACATTCTACTGTAGTGTACTGAAATACTGTACTGTAAAGAAATGAACTAGATGAGCACACCATGAGCATGTATGGAAGAGTCAAAATGAAAGGGATTAAAGAATGGACACTGTATGATCCACATCAGTGAAAAATAACTCAGTAGGGCCCCACTTTACGGCGTTTTGCCTTACAGCATTCCACTAATTATGACGAAAACTTGCTATATGGCGAGTGGTCTTTCTAATATGGCGTGCCCCACCTGGTTTGTTTACATTCTCCATGAGCACCTCTCTCTATTGTGTCTGGATATTTTCCAAAATTTCAAGTATTTTAAAGTTATTGCTGGTGTCTTTTTCTGTCTCATAAACATGCTAGATAACAGGGATATCTTGCTTACTCCTACTTACACTTTGGTCACACTTCACAGACACGCACATACATATATATATATACATACATCTAGGTTTTTCTCCTTTTTCTAAATAGCTCTTGTTCTTCTTTATTTCTTCTATTGTCCATGGGGAAGTGGAAAAGAATCTTTCCTCCGTAAGCCATGCGTGTCATATGAGGCGACTAAAATGCTGGGAGCGATGGGCTAGTAACCCCTTCTCCTGTAGACATTTACTAAAAAAGAGAAGAAAAACTTTATAAAACTGGGATGCTTGAATGTGCGTGGATGTAGTGCGGATGACAAGAAACAGATGATTGCTGATGTCATGAATGAAAAGAAGTTGGATGTCCTGGCCCTAAGCAAAACAAAGCTGAAGGGAGTAGGGGAGTTTCAGTGGGGGGAAACAAATGGGATTAAATCTGGAGTGTCCGAGAGAGTTAGAGCTAAGGAAGGGGTAGCAGTAATGTTGAAGGATCAGTTATGGAAGGAGAAAAGAGAATATGAATGTGTAAATTCAAGGATTAT